AGAGAGAGAGAGAGAGAGAGAGAGAGAGAGAGAGAGAGAGAGAGAGAAGTATATTAGATCATCAATGAGGAGTTGCATGACATGGTACAGCCTGATGGAAAGACCTCCAGACTTGGTGTCAGATTTGGGTTTAAACAGCTGCGCCACTTATCACCTGTGTGACCCTAAGCATCGACTCTCCAAGTTTCCCCATCTATAAAATGAGGGATTGATTGATCTCTAAGGGATTGTCACTCACTCAAGATCACATGGACAGTGAGTGACAGAAGAAACACTTGAACCCAGAGCTGTCCTCTGGATCCAAATCCAGGGCTCATTGCTTTGCACCATGATGGTTTTTTCTCCCAGCAGGAACAACAACCAGGCATAAAGGGTTGCGAGCAGCCCCTTAATTAGCAGTCACAATCTCCTCTACTCTTTCTCAGGTTGGTGTTACCCGCTCCAATCCCTTAACCTTCCTGTTCACCTCCATACTGACTCACCTATCCAGATCGCTGCTCGTCCCATGTTGGCAGCTCAAGACCAGGTCAAGCCCCTCTCTGCTGATGATTTCTATCCTTCTGTCAAGTCCTGTTCCCTTTTATTGGTGTCTATATCTCCCTGGCCCTGGTATGTTGAAATCAGAAAGACCAGCAGTGAGATGAAAAGTTGGAGGGGGCCAGGAGTGAAATGGCAGTGATTGGGCAAAGCTTTGACACAATGGCCTTTGGCAATCTCCACTTCTCCAGAACCATCAAAGGCTGGGCCACAGACTAATGCCAGGTGCGGTTGGTATTGCCAAATGGAATATGTGTGGGGAGGGAGGGATGGTAAGAGAAGAATAGTTTCTAAACATTCTGCTAAGTAAGAGTGAGTCCATTGTATGTGTCTGTGTGCGTCTGTGTGTGTGTGTGTGTGTGTGTGTGTGTGTGTTCTCTTGGCTCAAGTAACAGGTAACATATGTGGAAAGAAAATTGGGCTGGATGTTAGAAAACACGAATTCTTGTCCCAAATCAGTTCCTAGGGGAAGTCATTTCATTTCTTTGGTCCTCAATTTCCTTCTCTGGAAAAGTAAAGGAAGAGGGTGGTCTGGGTGATTTCAAGGGTTCCTTGCAGTCCTAAAATTTTATAAGTTTGAGACTCTGTGAAAGGAGCCTTGGTGCCTATTGGCAAGCCAAGAGGTACTTTCTCTTACAGGCAACAGAAGCTAGAGGGTCTGGTTGGAATTTGCTAGAACAAGGGTTTTAAACTTTTTTATGAGTATCACAGACCCCCTTGGCACTCTGATGAAAGCTATGGGGCACTTTTTCAGAATCATGCTGCAAAACACATAAAATAGGGGGCAGCTAGGTGGCATAGTGGATAGAGCACGGGCCCTGAAGTCAGTAGGACCTGAGTTCAAATCCAGCCTCAGACCAAACACTTGACACTTACTAACTGTGTGACCCTGGGCAAGTCACTTAACTCCAACTGCCTAAAAAAATACATAAAATAAAACACAGAGTTTTCTAAAAGAAACTATTTCTTTTCAAATAGAGTTGTCTAAATATGTTTTAAAAATCAAGATCACAGACCCCCGAGTAAGGACCTTGGTGTTAGAGTGACATTTTGGAAGGCAGCATTTTCATGCAAACTGACCCTAAGCAAAATAGGGTGAAATTAACTCAGAGTTAGGTACATTCTACATTTACATGCCATCTCCTTACTAACTGTGTGATCATAAGTGAGCTCTCCAATCCCTCTGTTTTTCTTATTTGCAAAATGGATGTGACAATTGTTCTAGCCTCACATGGTCATTTTGAGGATGAAATGAGATAATGTTTGTAAAGTGCTTTGCAGTACTCAAAGGGACTTATCAATATCAATCATTTTAACCTCTCCAACTCCGCCCCCGTGGCATGTGGGTAAGGGGGCATCTTCATGGACTACTCCAAATGAAAAACTTTTCCCCCCCGACTCTCTCCTTATGCCAGACTAGCTCTATTAGAGGCATGTCAATTGAGGCTGTACTCTCTCCCTTCTATATCACCCCTCCCCACCCTTGAGTTGCCAGGGTCCAGTGTCTGTAAATTCTGCCCAGCTGGTTGTCATAGAAACATAACATTTGGATACTTATGATATCCCCCTCCCTTCTAATAAGGGGGCAGCCCCTGTTTCTTTGCTGTCACTAGGCACTTTCCTTAGAAGGACCCTGCACTCAGGCTTCCAGGAGAGAGTCATAGACTCTTTAAATGTTCCAAGCTTCAAGGAGTATGTGTACTTGGGGGACAGAATGCAGCAATAAGGGGAGTGGAGGTCAAGGGGGCTAAAGGAGAATGGGCCGTAGGAAGGTAACCTCTTGAAAGCTAGGCAAATATTCTTCCCTTGACTTACATAAGTTGAACAGATCAGTCAGGGCAGCAGGGAGCTTTCGGTGGTCCCTCCTTCCTTCCCCCATCCAAGCCTCCAACTACAGAATCCCAGACATCTGTGAACTTCAAAGGGGTGCCAAGGAAGCTGCCTTAGAACACTGCAAAGCACTTTACAACTAACAACTCATTTAAATCTCACAACAACCCTGGGAGGTACGTACTATTGTTAACTCTATTTCACAGATGAGTAAACTGAGACAGGCAAGTTGCAAATTGCTTAGGCACACGTGGTGAGTCTCTGAGGCAGAATTTGAACTCAGATCTTTGGGACTCGGGTCCAGCCCTCTACTCACTGCAGCACCTAGCTGACTCTCATATTGACCTGGTTGAGTTTATTATGTACTGTCTCAAAGATTCAAAATGCTAAGGCTGGAAGGAATGGAAGAAATTACCTACTACGATATACAGATGAGAATACTGAAGCCTAGAAAAAGAACTGGTTTGCCCCAAGTCACACAGTGAACTAATGATAAAGGGAAGATCAGAGCTCAGTTCTCTGGGGTGAAATGAATGGTATAGGTATTAGTAGAGGGAGTTCCCAATCCCGGCGAAATAATAGGTCTACTGCCTATCACCAAACACCCAGTCTCTCTCCAGTTAGTATTGCCTGTGGCACTAGGACATAGGACAGATGGATTTTTATCCATCTGGATAAGAAAAGGGAGAGTTAAAAGAAGGAGCTGCTAATTGGAGAAGGCATGCTTGGGACATCTGTCATGATGGTGGAAAATGAAGGGAAAAATGAAGATAAATTTAATCTCTATCATAATTTTGCCTTAAGTTAGCCTATGGTGGGGCATCTAGCCTGTATACCAAAATGGCTTATTCTATAGAAGATGCCCGTGGCATAGGAGAAGGAAGATTCCATTGGGTACCAGGAGACTTATGGTTTTGGTTTGCCTGACAACTCCCTAGTCAATTCACTTCTAGAGGCTGTTTTCCTCTCCATAAAAGCCCTCAATTGCGCACCTTCCATCCTGTCAGGGCCCCCCCACCCCAAGACCACTTGTCTTTTTGCTCCTCTCCTTTCTTATTGTTAGGAGACAGCTTGTTTTCCTATCAGAGATGGGATAAGTTTTTCCTGAGTACCAAGGAGGAAAAGAAAGCTTGGGTCATCCAAGCAGAAACATTGTGATCCTTTTGGAAAACACTACCTGAGCTGGTAACTGGGGACTCCCTGACTTCTCCCAATCTCTTGATCACACAAACTCTGCCCTTCACTCTTATTGTGACCTTTGGTTTCTTGACCCAACCCTCTTCTTCCAGTACATCTTCCTGACTATAGCTTCATTTACTTCTAAATAAAACATCCAACTCCTACCCAGCCATCTTAATGATTCACTCGATGATACCTTGGGACCTCTTGCCCCCTCAGTCTTCTGCTGTTCTCAGCCTACAAATGTTCAACCTTATCCCTAGTGCCTAGCACAGTGCCTGGTACTTAATTAATTAGGCACTTAATAAATGTTTGTTGATTGACTGATCATTTATTAACCTCCAGTAGATTGAAGATTTCTGTAGGTTTTTTCCAATTATATTCCTAGGCTACTGGGAATTTCTGGAGAAAAATCACAAAATCAAGTTTTTTTTTATCTACTTAAAATTTATGGTGTGTAATCTTAGCTAGGTTCTTACTGCTTTCTGACAATACTTCTGGGTCATTCATCTGACAACTCTGTAGTCAATTCACTGTAGGAGCTGTTTTTCTCTCCTCAACTGCACACCTTCCATCCTGTCAGGGTCCCCACCCCAAGACCACACCTCTTTTTGCTCCTCTCTTTTCTTATTATCAGGAGACAGCTTGTTTTCCTAGGCTAAGACCCAGTAAGCAAGCTATGCTCTGAACTTGGTTTAACAACAATCCTTTGCTCTCACCCTCTGGATGAATTCTGCTGCAGCTAAATCACAGAATTGGCTCAAACCAGCCTCACATGATCCTTGAGCTTGGGCAAGCACCTGCAGAATCACATTCTGGTCATGAAGCCCTGCTATGAACAGACTTTTTGTCGCTAGGTAAATTTGCCACATTGTTGCTGTTATACCTCATTGCTGCTTGATTCTTTACATTTTACTGCTTGATTCTTTGTCTCGCCACAACTATATGTACCAAGGCTTAGCCTCACTGTCTTAGGTCTCCTCAGTCCTGGACTAGACCCTGGAATGCATGTCTAGTTTTCCCTCCTCCAATGGAATAAAGAAATATTTTTTTTGCATAGTAACTTCTACGAGCTTTTTAGTATTTTCAGTATTAACAATCTTCTACTTAAAGCAGATAACCTCGGTTTTCTAGTTCACAAAGATGCCTGGGACCACTAGATGAGAGCTTTTTCAAATCCCCTCCATGTCTGAATTTGTTTCTGCTCTTCTCCTTACTTCCTCCTTCCCTTCTGTCACGGAAGAAGTGGTATCCCCACTCCTCACCCCTCTACCTATACTCCTGACCCTATTTCCTCCTGCCTTCTCTAGGACCTTGTTTCAGCAATCTTCTTTTCTTTCTTTCTTTCTCTCTCTCTCCTACACAATTTTTTTCAAAAACTTTTCTTAATTCTATCTGATCTCTATATCAGTTCATCCCTTTCCTACCAAACTTCAGGGGAGAGAGGGGAGAAAGGAACCTGGTCTCTAACCATTTCCTCATCATCCAAACCTCTCCTAAGACTCTTGTAACTTGGCTTATTCCTCCACACCTCTCTTGAAACTACTTTCTCAAAACTACTTTCTCAAAGATCACCAATAACTACCTACCTGCCAAATGCAATGGCTGTTTTCCTGGTCTATATTTCCCCAACATCTTTGCAGCATTTAACACTGTTGATCTCACCCTTCTTCCAAATACCCCCTCCTCCCTTAAACTTTGGCACTCTATTCTCAAAACTTTGTCCCTAACTCTCTACCTTATTTTTCCTTCTCATTCTCCTTGGCATGTAGTCCTAGATTTGGAAAGAATCTCAAAGTTGACCTACCAATGAGTTTCTGAGAAAGAACCCTTTCTACATCTCTTAGAAACAATCGGCCTCTGCTTATGTATTGTTAATGATAGAGAAATTAGTATTTCCCAGGGTAGTCCATTCCACTGCTGGACATTTCTAATACTTAGAATTGAACTAATTGATCCCAATTCTGTCCCATGGAGGTCAAGCAAAAGAATCTAGCCTTTCTACATGGCATGCCCACAAATACTTGAAAATTGCCATCATATCCCCTCTCGGTCTTTTCTCCAGCCTCCACACC